ATTCCTGGGCCCCTGACAGCCCAGCTTCAGGTAGGAACCACTTACCTTTTGTATGCTGAACCACTGGTGGGTTTCCTTTCCTCAACTTTGACATCTTGTGCCCTACGATGTCCCCTCAGTGATTAGAGCCCCAGCTGGTTTCCCCAGGAAACAAGGCCTGTTTTAAGGGTGAAGATTTTCATGGGGACTGTTCTTCATTCCTGGTGTCCTCATTCATGACCCCTCCATCCTTGCCCTAGTATTTCTTTTCTCAGCATTAGCTCAGGCTGCTTACTTGCAGTGCTTGTCTACTTGAGAAGTTATCAACATTCTGTTCTTGTTCCATGCAGTGCTGTCACTTACTCTTTTCCTTACTAGTTTGTAGCAAATCCTTGTGATAGCATTTCACTTTTAAATACTTCAGTAGGCATCTCTAACACATAAGGACGTCTTATTCTAACAGAACTACAATTTCATTGTTATACCTAGCAAATTAATATTTTCTTGTCCAATCATTTACAAAAAAAAAAAATCTTTTTTTTTTTTTTGGTCAGTTGGAACAGCCCTCATCAGAGGTAGGAGAGGGAGACATTCACCATGGTGGTTTTCCTTGTCTCTGCCTCTCTTTCCTCCCATTTCTTCTTATCTTGCCAGTCCTGGTTAACAGCTGCAACTGCTACTCGTGGAACAAGCTGGGTCTCTTGAGTTTTCTTTGCCTCTTTCTTTTTTCCATACCTACCTCCCATTTGGTTGGCTGTTGTGTCCTCTCAATTCCACCTATGCAGTACCTTGTGATTCCTTTGTTTCCACACCTGCATCACCCTAGCTTCCTGTCTCTTCTCCACCTTCGAGTTCTTCTTTCCCCACATCTTTTGAGTTGGTCTTCTAAGGTGTAAACATAAATGCTGCTTAATGACAGGGATACACCCTGAGAAATGTGTTGTTAGGTGATGTTGTCATGGTGCAAACACCATAGATAGAGTGCACTTACACAAACCTAGGTGGTATAACCTACTGCACACCTGGGTCATATGATATAGCCTGTTGCTCCTAGGCTAGCTGTGTTACTGTGCTGAATACTCTAGGCAGGTGTAACGCAATTGTATTTGTGTATCTAAACATAGAAAAGATACAGTAAAAATATGTTATAAAAGATAAAAAGAGGTGCACCTGTATAGGCACTGACCACAAATGGAGCTTATGGGACTGGAAGTTGCTCTGGGTGAGTCAGTGAGTGAGTGGTGAGTGAATGTGAAGGCCTAGGACGTGACTGTACATTACTGTAGACTTTTTTAACACTCTACACTTAGGCTACACTAAATTTATAGAACAACCCAAGATTAAATCAAACACAAGAGGAAGTGATGCAATCTAGATGCTGTAAGCATGAGAGATATGAGGCTGCTTCTGGCATAACATAGCATACTGGTCTACAGCAAACTTTTTTTTACATAAACCAGTAACATGGTTGTTTATTATCATTATCAAGTGTATGTACTGTGCATAATTGTATGTGCTATACTTTTATATGACTGGCAGTGCAATAGGTTTGTTTTTTACCACCATCTCTATAAATGTGTGAGCAATGCATTGTGTTATGACAGTGTAACTAGACAAGAGGAATTTTTCAGCTTCATTATAATCTAATGGGACCACCATTGTATATGTGGTCTGTTATTGACCAAAACATCGTTATGCAGCATGACAGTACTGACTTGCCATTTAACCTGCTAGAAAGAGACCTTTCTCATTATCTGTTTGCTTCTGTTTAAACTGCAAAGTCAGACTGCCTGGGTTCAAATCTTAGCTTCACCGTATTCTAGCTGTGCAGCCATTAGCATGTTATATGATCTCTCTGAGCCTTCTTTCCTCATATGTTAAATGGAGGTTATCAGTGGTGTCCACCTCATAGGGATGTTGGGTGTGATAACACTTGAGATGAGGTTAGAGCACTTGGTACATAGGAAATACTAAATAATTGTTAATTAGGATTATTATTATTCTGACTTCTCCAAGTCACCTTTTCAGTTTCTTCCCCTACTACCCACCGTTGTCAGACACAGCCTTACAAAAATATATTCCATTATATGCTTTTATTTCTCCATCCCATCTGCTTTGGTATCTGTTGATTTAGCTCAGATGTGATCCCACCGTAGAGCTTCCTGTCTTTTCCCAGGCAGTATTCCCTGTCTCCCTGTCAGCCGCAGAACACTTGCTATATCAGGACTCCAGGGCTCTCAGTCTGCATCATGACTGTCTGACTGTCCCACTGGACTGTGAAGTGGTTGTTTAAGGATTGGGCACCCCATCTTGCTCCTCTTGGGCCATTGATACAATACCTGGCACCTGGCTAGACTTGGTGGACGATGTAGTGTGAAGACATGACTTGTCCTTGCTGGCTAGGAGGGAAGTTCACATTGAGAGTCTGATTGGAAAGGTGTGGGTTGGGCATTATTAGAGTGAGCCCTAAATGACAAGTAGTGAGTGTGGACTTGATCTGAGGTTAGGAGGGACCTACTCAAGTGTTTTGAGCAGAGCAGTGACCAAGACTTTCTCCTCTAGCTGTTGCCCTTTGTCTTTCCCTTTAGAGCCAAATTCCTTGAAAGAATTGTCTGTACTTGCTGTCTTCATTTCTATCCTTTCATCATATTTTAAATATTGCAATGAGGTGTTTTTAGTTCTACCCACTAAAAAATATTCCTATCAAGGTCACCAATGACTTCCCTGTAGCTAAATGCCACAGTCAGTTCTCAGCGACATTTTATGTAGTTGCATATTTCCTTCTTAAAATATCCTTTCACATGGTTGTTCTTGGCTTCCAGGTTTTCCTCTTACCTCTTAGGCAACTCCTCCCCTTCTCCTTTGCTGGCTTCTCTTCTCCCAAACACCCACTGTCAAAGGCCCTGGTTCTGTTCTTAGACCTCTCATCTTCTCCAACCACACTCTCTCCTTGGTGGCCCTGCCCACTCTCATGGCCTTAAATACCATCTCTTTGCTTCAGCCTAGATCTCTACCTTCAACTCCAAATCCTAATCTCCTACTCTCTACTTCACATTTCCTCTTGAATATCTCTTCAGCATCCCACCCGTGATGAGTCCAACAACAAAGTCTGATCAGCTCCCCCAAACTTGCTCTACCGTAGTGGAATGTAGACAGTTCTTTCAAGGAGTTTAGCTCTGACAAGGAACAGAGACATGGCAACTCCTTCCTTCAGATTGCCCAGGCTGAAAACTTTGGAGTCATCCTTGACATTTTCTTGCTCTTACCTTATATCGCCAAAAAGCAAATCTGGACTCTAATAGTCTGCAACTTCTGCTGCTTCCACCATGGTCCAGGCCACCATCTTACCTGGTTGCGATAGCCTTTGAGTGGTCTGTTTGCTTCTCCCTTTCCCCCCAAGGTATATTAATCAGTACAACAACCAGAGTGATGTTTTAAAATGTCACTCAAATCATGTCATGCATTTGCTCAAAACCCTCCAGTGGCTTCTCATCTCAAAGTCAAAACCAGTATCTTACAAGGCTGGATAGGATCTCCCCCCACATTTACACTTGAACCACATTTCTACCACTCAGCATCAGTGAACTGTCTCTGTACATTGACCATGCCAGGGCTTTGCACTGACTGTTCTCTTGCCTCTGATGCTCTTTTCAAAGTTATTCAGTTGGCTTATTCCCTCATATCATTCAGATTTTTACTTGGTC